AGCAATTGCAGGTAACTTAGAATTTTTCCAGGTACTCTTTTCAATTCCTGTTTTTCTTTTTCATGTATTTCGCATTCTTTATTTACCTGGAAATTAATCAAATAGCTGTACTTTTTACAAATATGGGAACAAATGTTTGCTATAATTGAGTGAAATCCATGAAAGGAGGAAACACTGAGCTGAGAAGCTCTGTGGCATGGTCTGGAATGATACCCACTCAGAGAAAACAAAACGTAAGAGTAGAGTAGTATAGCATGAAAATGATTCTAAACCAAGGTTATGTATATCTTAATCCATACAGATGGTCCTCAAGTTAATAGTTTTTGACTTTAAGATGGTACAAAAATGATCCATATTCAGTAGAAACTGTATTTTGAGTACTCATACAACCATTCTGTTTTTCATTTTCAGTATAGTTTTCAATAAATTACATGAGATAGATATTCAACATATTGTTATAAAATAGTTTTGTGTTAGATGACGTTTCCCAGGTGTAGACTAAAGTAAGTGTTCTCAGCATGTTTATGGTCATGATGGGGAAAGGAGGCAGAGAAATTCTAGGCAGAAAAGCACGGGGTCCCTGGCGGAGCCCTATCCTCAAGCCTCAACCTTTGGCCCAGAGCGAGAACATACATTTTCCTGCTAAAATGTTGGCTTTTCCAAAACTACCCCATGGACTGCCCTTCCCCTCATCCTATACCCATAAAAACCCTGACCCAGGAGCCAGGTGCAGTGGCTCACGCCTGTAATCCCAGCACTTTGGGAGGCTGAGGCAGGCGGATCACTTGAGGTCAGGAGTTAAAGACAGCTTGGCCAACATGGTGAAACCCCATCTCTACTAAAAATACAAAAATAATAGCCAAGTGTAGTGGTGCAGGCCTGTAATCCCAGTCACTCAGGAGGCTAAGGCAGGAGAATTGCTTGAACCCAGGAGCCAGAGGTTGCAGTGAGCCGAGACCGCACCACTGCACCCCAGCCTGGACGACAGAGCAACATTCCATCTCAAAAAAAAAAAAAAAAAAAGGAAAGAAACCTGACCCAACTGTCAGAGAGCAGAGGAGGGGAGAAGAGGAGAAGCAGCTGGACATCAGAGACTATGGATTGATGTTGGAGAGAAGCAACTTTACTTCAGAGGGACAGCTTAATGGCATTGCTTCGGAGAGGAGTATGGCCTGGATGGCCAGACTCCAGGGGAAGATCACCTTCCCGCTCCACCTCCCTTCTAGCTCCCCTTCCCGCTGAGAGCCACTTTCATCAGCAATAAAGTCCTCCGTATTCACCACCCTTCAATTCATTCATATGAACTGATTTTTCCTGAATGCGGAACAAGAGCTCAGATGACACAGGTGCAGACACTAAAAACTGCCAAACTGACCCTCTGCCCTTGTGAAAAGGCAGAGGGCCCACTGAGCTGTTTAACACTTAAGCCATCTGTGGATGGCAAAGTTAAAAGAGCACTATAACACACACCCTCTCTGACTTCGGGGGTCACAGGAAACTCCCCCTCAGAAGCTGCTGTTGGGTCCCCCACAGAGTTTTGCTACTGCCAGCTCCCAAAAGCAGCTGCCCTGGCTCCTGCACACACTCACCTGTGCACTCACCCTCCTATGAGGGCTTGAGAGCTGCAGGCTGAGTAAATGAGACTGCCCTGTTGGAAAGGCTGCAAAGAGGACAAGGAAAATCTCCTGTTTAAGGAGTCTAGGCTAAAATGTGGTGTTTGGTGTACTAGGTGTATTAAATGAATTTTCAACTTTTGTTATTTTCAACTTAGCTTGGGTTTACTAGATCATAATCCTATCATAAGTGGGCATGTATATACAAAAAAATGCTGATATCACACCGTGATAATTAATGCAAACTTGTTTTGTGGCTGTGAGTCTTTGAATTCCTTTGAGTGTATTGGTGGAAATTCTAACAAAAGAATACCCTGCTTTGAATTTTACTTAAATACTTATTTCATATATTGCCTATTTTTCTTTTAAAACAAAGTTGTAATAGTTAACTAACTACATAGTATGTACTTTGGGTTAGTGTAATCAATAATACAGTGTAGGTGGTACATTCAAATCTTTCATTATGTTTCCTCTTAACTTTTAAAATAGATTGTACTTGATGCCACACTGCTTGGCATATAGTAGTTTCATATATCTTTGAAGATTATTGGTTTGACTTTTCTTTTTTAAAAAATACATTAGATTCTCTATACTAAGAATAAGACTGAAATAAAGAAATTAACCAGTATTGAAGGAAGAATAAGAAGCAGTAAATACTCTTTGAGTAATAGACACTATTAAAAATAGCAAAATAACTTTTATTTTCACATTGATGGAGTTCAATACCCATCCCTGCCCAGGGCTGGGAAACTTCAAGACACTGATACTTGTTTTCATTATGAAAGCTAAATTAGCTTTTCTGTGATATATGGTAGAACACTTGCATTGTTCCAACGCCTTCTTTCACAGATTGCTTCAGGCCTCGAACTAGAGTTAATGGTGGCTTGTAGAACAATAGCTCTGACCATTAATAGGGTTGATAATTTCGTCTGAGCAAAAATTTATAAGGAGATAGACTATCAGAATATAGGAATTTTGAAAGGCCACAAAAGCTACGACAGAGATGCTGGGCACCCCAGAATATGAGAAAGGCTGCCTTGAGGACTTTATTTAATTAAAAAAAGTATATAACTGTAGAAAATAAAGTTGCTTAGATTTATAAAAATATATTTATAAAAATCAGAAAAAAGTGAAAAAATGGAATGCCTAAATAATGAATGTCAATAGAAAAAAAAAGTACTTTCTTCCCAAAAGAAGGGAAGAAAAACATCAGTTTAGACAAGATAAAAGGAAAATAAAAAACTTTAGAGATACATACAGTTAAGAAAAAGAGGCCTTCAGCAAATAAACTTTCTCTAACTTCAGCCAAACTAGACACAAACCGAGCTTTAAGAGAAAATTAACGTTCCTTACTTTGAAATTTTTTTCTGAATCAAGGCCTAAAAATTGAAATTAGACTAATATAACGCCTCTAGGTATTAAGGAAGAAATGAGACAGTACGGGCTGGGATGACAAGTCAGTAACTATAACCTGTGGACCAAATCAGACATACTATTTTTGTGTGTGTCAATTAAATTTTATTAGAACACACTCATGATCATTCATTTGCATGTTGTCTTATCCACAGCTTCTTTTATAATACAATGGTTGAGCAGTCGTAACAGAGAACATACGGCCTGCAAAGCCTAATGTATTTACTATGTGGTACTTTCTGCAAAGAAATGTACTGACCCCAGGCCTAGAGCATTAGGACAACATTCTTAAGTGAATCTTCAGAGCTCTTAAGTATAGGTTAAAAAATAACACACAGACACAGAAGCAGATTTATTGAATAATGATTTTATACTTAATGTTGTAATACTTTTCCATATGCTTACAGAAACTCCATGAGACAGGTGCCATTCTCTTTTAAGAAATTCAGAAACTGAAGCTCAGGGGCATTTAATCTGCAAAATGTAGCACAGTCCAGGGCCTGTACACACAGCGCACATTGCTGTGGGGGTCATGTATTACACAAGCAGGCCACAGTTTAAGGAGGTGCCATTCATTCACAAATATAATGTATTTATATGTTGGTTGCAACAATAATTTGATAGATACCAATGACATGTATGTTCCAACAAAATCAGTATTACAATTGGAAGCAAAGCATATTGAGATAGGATGCCTTTATTTTGAATTCACATGAAGATTCCATCTGGGCTACTCATAATAATTCGCAATATGATATATCAAGTTTACTTAATGAATTAGCATATTAGGTTAGAATGAAAAATCAGGTAAAAATGTAAATAAAAGCTTTTAATCAGCAGTGAACATGATGTGTATTTTTTCAGTTTTCTCCATACTGAAGTGGTATCACAGAATTAAGATAAAAATTAACATATTAAGAACTGAAGACACCCCATATTTTGCAACATAAGATTGCTACTGATTCTTAATGGAGACTACCTTACACATACCTGGATTCTTGTGGTGCTATTAAAATGGAAATTTTGTAGCAACATTAATAACTGAGAATCTCCGTGAAACATATGTATCTCATCTAGAACTAGTTTTCTTTTTATGTTAAATGTGCTGCTTACATTTTAATGTTTAGAATCATATAATTCAGCACTAAATATATAGACCAAGTATCTGTAGTAAACCCTTTGGAGACAGTATACCTACTTCTAAAAAGGAAGCCAAGTCTGTCACTTTGTTAGCTTTTAAGGTCACTGTATTTTAACGCTATTAGCATTTTCACAAATACTGATAAAAAAAATCCTGGAAATAAGTCTAACTTTTAACACACATATATATGCATATTCCCGAATTAGTTTCTAACTGACTATTTAATAACTTTGCTGTTTTGGAATTGTTTATTTTCCTTTGGTAAATTTGAAAATACTGTTGTAGTGATACAAACACATTTAGTAAACAAATGTAAAAATAGATGTGATATATTCTAAATGTAGGTACCAAATAGCACAAGTGAAGGAGCATTTATTGAGACTGGAGTGTTTCACAGCCGGGTTGATACCGCACCTGAGTTTTAGAGAGCAGTTAGGTTTCAGACTGATAAAACGGGAAGAAAGCAAGTAGCTTTGAGACTGATAAAATGGGAAGAAAGCAAGTAGCTTATCTAGGGCAGAAAACTTCTGGGGAGATAACCAGCTCGGAATTCCCAGCGGGTGTTACAGAACATGAGTCCTGGAGAAGTCAGCACATGGATGGACAATTGGGAAACTTTCTCTGTCAAGAAACGAAAAACACTGTGCATAGATTAGATGGGTAAGGGTAACTGTGCTGAAAAAGATAAACAAGCTCAGAATATTAGAGCAATAACTGTGTTAGGGAGTAAGATAAAGCTGAGAAGACAGCAGTAAAAGCAGGAGGAGTACAAGAGCGCATTGTGAGAGATTACAGAATTTCCAAGAAGTGTTGACAGTGTTACAAGTTCCAGAGGAGAAAAAGTGGAGGAATGGCAAAGGCTGATTGACTTTGTCAACTACTTACTTTAAAAAACATTTGAGAAAGCCAGAAAGCAGAGGGGATAAAGCTTCACTCTCATGAGAATGGGAAGCAGAGGCGGAGGCAGCATGCACAGTCATCCTTTGAGGGTTTGTTTTAAACAAACAAACTGATGCCTGGGAAAAGGTAACAGTTCTTGAATTTTTTTTTTTTTTTTAGTTTTTCTGTGTGTGTGTGTGTTTACATTGAGACACAAGTGAAATTTGAACATGCTTATTAGCCAAATTACCTGAGTGAGATTAAAAAAGATATAAGAGACTGGGAATAGCTGATGTCACAAAATACTGAAGATACTATAGATAAAAACAGCTAAAAAACAATAAGAGCATATTGACCAAAATTTTAAAGAAATACACTTAAGGCCTGGAATAAATACATTTGCACAGTATCTGCAATGACACCTCTTTGAACATAACAGATAGAAAGAATTAAGGAGATTCTTTCATGTGTTTTGTAAGTATTCAAAGAGTATTTTTTTTCCTTTATACAATTGACTTCCAAAAATACAACAAAACAAAACCTGCATGCAAATATATGTCAATAGTAACCCAGGCATACCCTCTACCATTTAGAAATAGGGTTTCCAAATAGCCATCTGATCTTTTCCACACTTTGGTCTGAGATGCGTCTCAGTTTCAACATTTAATTATACTGTAAGTGGGATGGATTTGAGTATTGAAATTTACATTGAATATAGAAACTATTTCAATTGTGTATGGGGGTGTAGTAATAGAATGAGGAGGTCCCTAGAGAAAAGAATATACAAAATAATAGAGGAAAATTAAATTAATCTTATGATAGGTCAAGTTGATAATGCAGCAGAATTGTATTTTTATATATTCTGCTTTCATTTTATGATTCACTGGGGGACTGTGAATTATCAGAGTATATGGTACATTTATGCTCATTGAATAGAAAACCGAGCATAATTTTATCATTTAAAATTATTGCACAAATTTGTAGTTGTATGTTACTTTCGGACACATTTTCAATCATGTCTATGATTTATTAAATGCTTGGTCTACCACATAACATCAAATTATAACATTGTTCCTATGAGAAAATATAAAATTTTTATAACAATCTGCTCGACAGTAAGGTTTCTCAGAACACATTGTAGAGACAAATGGGAACTTCCCCATAGCAGTTTTATGAACTATACTTGGCATAGCTTTATGGTTTAAGAATAAACTGTCCCTGGTGAATATTTAGTAGCTTATGTAAACCTGATTTTGAAATGTTGAGGTACGTGTTATTTTCTTAACCACAACATTCAAAGCCCTGTTTCAGGACTACCTCTCTGACACAGACTCCACTCTGCTCATCTTCTGATTGGTAATAGTTTCATAAAGATGCACCACCTGCCTTATTCTTTGGACACTTCAATGTATTCTGCATTGTATTTTGACTATACTGCTCTAGTCTTTCTTCAGAATACCACTGATGTCATATTTATATATGGAGACCACAGTTTTGTTAGAGTGAAAGAATGCGCATTACACTGTCTTTAGAAAAGGCAATTCCCCCAGACATACACACACACACACACACACACAATAACAATGGTGGCTTATTAATTAAATCATGGCGGTAGGTAGAATTTATTTAGGAATGAATAAACCTGAGATTATGCTGAGTTCACAGCACTTACCCATACTCTAGAGAAAAGTAAAATCACTAAGCAAAATGATGAACCTGAGTCATGAAGCAAAATTTGTTTGTTCATTACAATGATCACAACAGGATATTAATTTGAATATATTTTATTTGTTGCCTCTACAGGCATGAAATATTTTGAATATTTTTAAAAGGCTATTACTGTAGTACAGAGTTGTTATATTAATACTATGGTTACATAGAAAATTAAGTTATTTAGAAGACTTCGGGTACCAAACCACATTAGATTACAAGACTACTGTTCTACAAATATTTATATTTAAGATATTTGTCACAAGAGAATCTTAATGTATGATTCCAATTGTAAAGAAATCTTGTTAACAAATATCCCAAGATCTAGGTTTAAAATGGAGTGATTGACAGAGAATGAAGATATCATCATAAAACCCTTACACTGCCCTCAGTGGATCACTAGAGATAAAGTTATCATAGCTACAGTCTAACCTTATGTTCCTATAAAACTGACATATATTTCAAGATAATACTGCTCTTAGTTAGTTTAGCAACCAGATCTTCTTAGCCTTTAGCATTAGAACATTATATTAATAGACATTTAAACCCTCTTAAGCATGATATTCAAATAGTTCTATCGGTTGTATCAAACACTTAAATAATGTAGAGGCTACTACATATAATAATATGTTCTCTTACTCTAGAAAATTTTTAGTCTATCATTCCTAAAATAGCATTAATGGAATATAGCATCCAATGTTCAGTAGATGTTTTTCTGAGAGAGGATCCTAGAGAATTTCTATGAAAATATGTGTTTTAGTACAAGTAATATTTTTTTCTCTCTAGCAGAATCGTTGTAGTTTCTAATATAAAGGCACTGAAATTAATCAGGGAAACTTATTTACATAGCTATATTAATGCTCTAGATTGGAAATATCAGACTCACTAGCAGTATGTTTATGCTATTTATTCAACAAACATGTACCCATTACTGTTCCGAACATTGGAGCTACAATGACAAGCAAAAGCGACATGGTTTCTCCTTTACTCAGTTTGTAGGAGTTAGGAAGAAAATGAAAAACACAAAATACAGTGAGTTTATTGCTACTTTATGGGTAAGAGAAGAGTAATATTGGGAAAACCAATAGAAAGAGAGAACAAACATTAAACTTTTGAAACCCGAAAACAACTTATAACTACAGAGTAAAATGTTAGTGCAGATGGTGGAAGGGGAGGCGTTAATGACAATGAAACCAGAGAAGCAATCAAGGACTTTGCAAGTCTTAAAGACTTTGGACTTTTTTCTATGGGAAAATTGTGCACAAAAGGCTGTTTGAACCTATCAAAATTAACCAAACTCCTTTTGATGGTGTTGGGGCTTTTGGTTTGTTTTTTCATTTGTCTTTTTATGTGTTTTAATGAAGTCCTTATGTTATTATTGCTAAGAATCATGGTAGAAATATGGTGGGATATTAATTGGATTTGCATTCATGAATGTATACTCCTCATTTCATAACTGATCTTACCTAGATAACATTTTGGTTGATTAACCTGTAAAAAGAGTTCTGCTATGTTCTCTAATTCTAGGAGATTCAGAAAGCAAAATTAACAACACCATTCTTCCAAAGTGCTAATAACTTGGTAAAAGAACAGTATAATAAAGTGAAGATTCAGGTAAAGTATTCTATTAAATGATGAATATTGATCAAAGAAAATATTAGGTGAAAAGGTAGCAAGTATGCCATATAAATCTGTCCCCATCTAACAGAAAAGCAGCATAATTGTAATTTCTGTTGATGTATAAACTATGAGATGTTTATTCACTATATGTCTAATGGATTTGTGTTTTGACTTTCCACTTACTCAATAACCTTTGTCTCTTTTTAAACATGCAACATTTTTAATCATCTATAAATTTTATGCCCCAAAATAGATAAAATAATTTAATTTTAAAAATAATGCAATAAAAGTAACTTTTCTATGTCAATATTCATTAATATTTTCCATAAATGTTGAAAATACGTAAAGTAACAAAACAATAATTACTTCGGTAATTATATAGAGAAAATATGTAGCAATTATTCCTAAAAGAAAAAAATTAGAAGTATCTATTAAATTATTATGCTCTTTTTTAGCTTATTTAATTGAGTAAGTGTGCTACAGAACAATGAGTAGTTGAATAATTGGTAGTTAAAGTTTAATCATTGTCCAAGCTCTACTTTTTCTTTTTTTTTTTCTTGAGATGGAGTTTCACTCTTATTGCTCAGGCTGGAGTGCAATGGACGTGATATCGACTCACTGCAACCTCCGCCTCCCAGGATCATGCAATTCTCCTGCCTCAACCTCCTGAGTAGCTGGAATTACAGGCATGCACCATCACACCTGGCTGATTTTGTATTTTTAGTAGAGACATGTTTTCTCCATGTTGAGGCTATTCTCGAACTCCTGACCTCAGGTGATCTGCCCGCCCTGGCCTTCCCAAAGTGCTGGGATTACAGACGTGAGCCACTGTGCCTGACCCAAGCTCTTTTTTTATTAAGTACAATTTAGTTAGATGTGTGAACTCACTGCAATTGTATACACAATTTTCTGTGTATGTATAAAATTTGATATTTAAATGTATTTATGGCAAGAGTGTCTGTAACTTTTATGAACATATCAAGTGTACATGATCACAAAAACAGATGTAATTTATTACCATACAGCATCAGAAATACCCCTTCAATCAATAAATATATATAATGATATGATACTTACAATGGAGGGAACTATGGTATTTAACTGTCAGTAAACTGAAAGAAAAAAATGACTCAAAATGTTTGTAAAGATGATACCTTTGTCTACAAGTTTAGGAAAACACTTCAATTTTTAAACATTTTTTACCTCATTTTGTTGCTATTTTATTTTCACTACTTAATTATTGGGTGCCACATAATACCTCAAATGAGCAAATTATCACTGAAATTAAAAAGGTAGTTGACTAGGTAGGTGTCCTGTAGGAAGAAAATAAGTCCCCTCAGAATAAATGAGAACTCACCGTACTTTTTAATTCTTTTCAAAAATGAAGGGGAAACAAAGGTGTTCCAAGAAAAACAAAGATTCAAGGAATAAATAAAAGAAAATAAAAATATTTTCAGAAAAGTTTGACAGTATTTGTTGCCAGCAGGAATATATTAAAAGGATAAAACTAAAATATGTGTTTCAATTAGAAAGAAAATGATTCCACAAAGAAATGTAAAAATGTAAAAAGAAATAAAAAGCACTGAAAAGAGTAACTATATATAAATTACTATTCATTTTAATAAACAATTATTACAGTTTCCTATGATGGCCAAAATATGTACATTGATATACATGTTCATGAAACGCAAGAGGTGGGTGGGGAGTTGATAGAGCTTAACAGTTTTAAAGATGCTAACGGTATTGTGAGAAGGGTCAAAATATTCATTTGTTTTAAACTCCATAATACATCAAAATACATGCTTTAATCTCTATAG